TCAGTTAGATGAAATTAAACAAGAACAAGTGCAAAGTCTTGCACTTGGGACAGACTAATTACATGCCCAAATACAGACTGGGAAATGGTTCCTCTACCAAAGTAAGACCAATCTGTTAGCAAAGACAGCTAAAATTACTAAATGAAAGACTAGAGGAAAGCACCTGGGTCCTGATATATGCAGCCCTTCCTAGTTATGGCAGCTATCTGTATCTCCTGAAGAATATGAACACTTATAGCTGATCTGAGCCAGGTTTAGATCAAAGGTGAAACTTAAAGTGTTTAACACGGTCAGAAATACTGTGAAAAGCATACTTCTGTTAGAAGTTTAAATACAGCCAGATCTGCTTGGTTTAAAGAAGATCTCTTTAAAAATTAGCTTTTGGTTATATGCACACAGTATTGCCAAGATTGCTGAACTACTCCAGTTTGTCTGGATGTCATAGTAGGTTGAAGTATGAAACTGAACTATATTTGAAGACTGAGAGAAACCCCGAAGGGAAAGGGCAGCATGTTTGTCTGATTTAAAATACACTTTAACTTACGTTACTGCGTTTCAGGAAATGGACCTGTTACCTGTTTGATTTCAATTTTAAACAGTGTTAACAGGTTAGTGCACCTATTTTTCATGCAGACTGGAACAAAGTACTATACAAAAAAAGTTATAATTCTGTGCGTGATTTATTTCTTTGATTATAAACACATGAGCAGTGGAGACTACTGTACTTGGTTGAAGAAGCAGCACTAGTTGAGTCATTAAGTAATGAAAAGTAAATAGCCAAAGTTTAAAATCTAACAAGTAAGTACATTAGCAGCAGGAAACCTGGAAAAGAACTAGGAGGTAGTCTGGCTCACCAGAGATTAGAAGGAGTAACTAAATATAAGGATGCCATAGAGAAGCCAACTGACTACTTTAATCTGGTCAAAAGTTGGAGAGATTTATTACCTAAAGTGGGAAATTCTGTATTGGGAATTAGTGCTGAAACAACTAAAGCATAAGTAACCAGAACTGGTTTGTATACTTCAGAGATGAAGTAGATGAGTTGTTAACAAACCATATGATGTGTTCACTTAAAATAGTCACTGTTCGGGGGACTAGAATATGTGAGGTGTTTTTGTTTTTTCTTAGCATTCACAGATACTACTAAGAAATAAAGGTGTGTGCCATGTAAATTGATTGAGGTTTTAACTGAAATAAAACTATAAAACCTATAAGTTAGTTTGGGGCCTAATCAATATGGTTTCTGCAAAGGAAAGTTCTTTCTTCCTAGTTAACCCTATGAGCATGCACCAAAATATTATATGAAAATTCAGTCTCTTAAAGATATGAAGTTATTTTGCTGTGAGAAGCGAAATACTGGAATGGGTTAGAAATTGGTGAGGACTCAAACTGAGGATGAATGTTGTTTGGGGCGGGGGGTTAACTCAGGAAAAATGTTAACCCTGGTATACCTTGAGATTCCATAAAAGTGTTTTATATTCATTTGTGATCTACAAAAGTAGTTCTAGAAAGAATGAGGTGGCATAACTTACAGTTGATTAGTCTTCTCAAATCCTGCCAACCTGAAGAACTATAGAAAGCTCTGACCAAGCTATCTGAATGTGCATCACCATGGCAGATGAGTCTGCCAAAAGTGAAGTAGTACACAGGGGGAAAGAACTCTTAATTGTACACATTGCTGTATACTGAATTAATGGGCAAACTGTAGTGGGAGCAGAAGGGGTTTGGGCATCACCGTAGGCATCCGGGCTGCTTACAGATGTTAAAAATAAATACATGCTTTACAAGAAAAAGCAGTACGTTGGTTCTACCTGGCTTTGCAGCATCCATATAGATTGGGTGTTTCAGCGGGGCTTTTCAGTGCTGTTATCTAAAGCTGATTCTGATTCCATCAGTTACTGGAAAAAAGCGCCGAAACCCCACTGAAGTGCCTGATCTATACAGATGTTGGATGAACCAGATCCAACGAACGTGTTGCCTCTTCTGGATTTGTGCTGGGCTCGGCTTGGGAGTGTGCCGAGTTTAAAGTGCTGTTTTTTCTTTCTTTTTTAATGTCTGTGAACAGCCCTGAATGCAAGCCCCAGATGATGTGCAGTTAAGGTGGGGGGGGAAAAGTAGTATTAAATCCCTAGAGAAAGGGGTGAAAGATAGTGAAAGGATTAAATCTACTGTGTAAGTAATATCGGTAGCATCAGTCCAACACTAAGTGGTATGACCTCATTTTAGAATACTGCATTCCATTCAGGTCACACTAGCTTAAAAAAAACCTCAGAAAAAAAGCTGGGGGGGGAGAGCAGTGCAGGGAAAGTGAGTAGTTAGACGCCTACAAAAACTTCCTTGTAGAGATTTGAAAAAAGTACACTTCAGAAAGAAGTTAAAAATAGGTCTTGCATCCAATAAATGGAGCAAAGAGAATGGAATGGGCATTGCCTTTGACTTGTATTAATAGAAGAACAAGGAGACATTAAGTTAAATTGAAAGATGGCTCATTTAAAACTGTTGAGAAGAAAATGATTTTTCACTTAATGCAGAGTGTCCGTAGAACTTCTTGCCAAAAGACATTGAGGCTGATGAGCTTAGTACGATGCAGAAAGGACTGCTAAGGTAGGAATAATATCCACAGTTTACGTGAGTAGAGAGTCTTTGGCATTGATAAACTTTCACATCATACAGCATAAACCAGCCTCTGCTGACAAGCGTTCTATCTGCCTGTAAGGAAACTTGTTTTCTTTACCAAAACTACCTGCTGCAGGGTTCTTCTTGCTTGCTTTTCTGAAATATTTGGTTCTGGCTGCTGTCAAACTATGTACTGGACCAGTGGTATTGTTGCTAGAGCAAGTATGACCACTCCTAGGCTTCAGACTTCTATAACTGCCTGTACAGATACTGTTTGGGGCTGAAATTCTCTCTAGGCAAAGCCATTATTTCTCGAATTGCCTTGTTTGTTGTCAGTTACTGCTTTAGTCTAGTTCAAGGCTTTTGTCCTCTTCCATGCTCCCCTTCTACATTTCCCCAGCATAGTCTGTTCAACAAAAAATCACCTGGTACTCTTTCTCCTTAGAGAGATCATGGGTATCATAACCCAATAGCTAACTGATTTAATAGACTGATAACAAGATGTTTGAAGAAAAATGAATGCTTACTTATCCCAAAACAAGAAGTTTGACCTATTCAGAGATCCCAGATCAGCAGGAGTTTATCCATTTGGTAAACTTGTTCCTTCGTAGAACAGTTGCTCTAGAAACCAGGAACTGTAGTTCAAAATAAGGCACTCTTATGAAAATGGAATTAACTCTTGCTTGTACAAGTACCTCATGCTCTGTTATCTTTGCCCAACTCTCCTTGCCTAAGCCAAATGAAAGCATTTGGCTCAGAAATATGAGATCACTTGTCTTTTCACTCTAGCCTTTGAAGCTGTTATTTTTTTCATTTGTGCTAAGGTTAACATGCAAAATCCATACCTTTCTCCTTTGGTACATCTAGTAGAGCATGAGACAGACAGTAAATACTGTGTATGTTAATAACTCCCTCCTTAAAAATATTAAAAATCCCAAAACGCAGTGAAATAAACTTCAGATAGTCTGAATAGGACAATTCTTATTTTAACTTTACACTCGAAAGCTGAATTCACAATTGCTTAAGGTTTCCTAAGCATTTCTACTATCAAATAAGTTCCACTGCTAGTGGCACTTACATGAGCACAAGCAGGGAAAATACTGAATACCTATCAATGCTTCTAAATGTTGTCACTTAACTTGGCTTCTTCAGAGCAGGCCTCATGTGTACTGGGGCTCCTTACATTCACAATGTCAGTAGAGCAGAACTGGTAGTAACAGTAATTGGACTACTCAGAGGGGGCAGAATGTAGCTTGTGTGTACTATGCTAATCTAGAATGGCAATGTGACATGAAAGACAAGATGGCAGCAGTATACAAACATGCATCATCATACTTACCCAGCTTCTGTCAAAACATGGTATATTCAGTGTCAGAGTAGTAAAAAGTCACCTACCAAAGATTATTTTTAGAATAGTACCTATGTTTGCTTCTCTGATGTATAAAAAGAACCTGAAAGCCTTAAGAGATGTTTTTTTCTTCTGTTTTTTCCCCTATCTCAGACATGTCAGAAATGTCAGTTTTTTGGTCAGGTCATCCCTGGCTTTGCTGGGGGATGGCCTACTGCATGTTTTAGTTGTGCCAAATCTTGGAAAATAGGTCATGTTTAAAAAGTTGTGTAAATCTATTCTCAATATTTTATACTTGCCATAAACAAGGAGATTGTACTACTTCCTAAATATGAGGGGGGGGGTTTCCAGTGCATGCAAACTCAGAGTGGAATTAACTGTCCCATTAGCAAGTACTACCTGTCTTTCAGATCTAGTTAGGATCAAACTTCTCAAACATTGAAATTTAAATTTAATTAGTGTTTAAAATTGGTTAAACATGGATATGAGCATGTGAGCTTAAAAACCTATCAATTGTTTTACTTCTGTTTTTTGGGTTTTCTTTTTTATTCTTGTTATCCACTTTCGTTAGTTCTCTTGTCGTTATGGTCTTCTAGGTTAATTGGGACCTGGAATTTCAAATGTAAATACAGAAACTTCCTTCTGAGAGAGAATTTGGATAACACTTATCCAGAAGATTATTGCATGACATCTGTTTTGCTTTGTTTTTGTTTTTTTTAAAGGTGATCTGACATTATTGTTGGATAACTTCTCTAGTGGCTTCCAGCTAGCATGCATGATAATATTCAAATTTAAGTGGTGTAATCCTACAAAGCTGTCTGCCTCTTTATGTGGCAGTAATGTTGCTGTTTAAAGTCACTTTGATAAATTAAATTATGTGGAGTTTACTATTTGCTAATGCTAATGTATCTTTCATTTTAGTTAAAAAAAAATCCTTCTAAATTTCAAGGAATAAAATAGGAATCAAGTAGATTTTATTTCCTACAGGTACCTACAGCTGCACTTAAATTCTAATGCAGTGTTTTTCTCTCCCTAGTACTTTTGTCCATCTGTTCTCTGTTGTGTGATCCCAATCCAGATGATCCTTTAGTGCCTGAGATTGCACGGATCTACAAAACAGATAGAGAAAAGTGAGTATGGAAGCCAAAAATTGTTAAATTTTTAGCTTTCTCTTAAGACCTCCAATTTGGTCCCCAAGGTTTAAACCCTTGTGATTTTTATAATTGAGGTGGCAATTTTCTCATGGTAACTGTTAGTAAAGCTCACAGAGGGATGTGGAGGGAACAGTATTCATGGAAAAACTTCCCAGAACATTTTCTGCATACTTAAAACTGCTAAGCAGTTGTACATAGTGCATTTCCTTACTGGGAGACCACTTTTTGAAGGTTTTAGTTTGCAGGGCTAGTGTTCTCATTCTCTTATAGCAGGGGTTGGCAAAATTGCTGATCCAGATAGCAGCCAGACTCCATTTCCCAGCCGCCCCTGCCTAGAGATGGCTTGGGCCAGTCTCCACGGAGACCCCAGCTGCTCCTGCCAGGGGAAGCTCAAGCTAGGATTACCATGGAGACCAGCATCGGCTGCACTGGCAGTGCAGGGGGTTGCTCTGAAGCCACTGGGAACTTGGGATGAAGGCAGCTTGCTCCAGAGCCAGGGCAGAGCTGCGCTCTGTAGTGTGCATGCTCCAGGCGGGGACATGCGGCTCTACTCTGGCTCCTTGCAATAGTGACAGCCTGGTCTGGAGCTGGGACAGAGCTGCAATCCCCTGCTTGCACACCCCTGCCTGGAGTGTGCAAGCTACAGAACTCAGCTCTGCCATGGCTCCAGAGGAAGCTGCCCCCATCCCAAGTTCCCAGGGGCTCCGGGGCAGCCCGTTGCGAACGCATGTTGCTGGCGGCTCAGGCTTGTCTCCATGGCAACCCCAGCTTGAGCTTTCCCGCAGGGGTGCAGCTGGAGTCTCTTTGGAGACCAACCCAAGTCATGCGGGCAGGGACTGCTGGGAAATGGAGTTCCTGGCTGACCGGATCCAGCTTGTAGGCCAGACTTGCCCGCCCCTGTGTTACATAGTCTTGCATTTCCCAAACTATGGAGATGTGCATGGTGTGGGAAAGAGGCGGCATGTGTGAATCATAAGGCAATTGGCAGTACCTCTTACTTCAGCTGCCCTCATGCCACCCTTCACCACCAGTTGCCACTTGTGAGAGGAAATGGTGAAGGAAGCATTGGTCAGGTACAAGTGCACCTGACTTTACCATCGTGGGGCATAAGTGCTCAAAGTAGAAAAACACTGCTGTAGGTTAACACCCCTGATATGCCTCACATGATCCCCTGTGCATTCTCCCAACTGATTTGCTGGGTGCATGAGTCATGAACTTGTTTTATTTGGATTCTGAGACAAAATCATACCCTTAATTTTGTTAAACGTATTGTGCATCAAAATGTGTATGCGTTTTTGCAATATTAATTTAAATTACATTGGCAATACTTTAAAATGTGTATGTGCCTTAATTCTACATAGCTAATTAAAGGAAAAATGGCTAAATTCCACCACAGTGGTATCTAGACCAGTGGCTCTCAGCTTCTTTAGATTCAAGGCATCTGTCATGAGACTTGAGAACCCCCTCTAATTTTTATGAATTGAGTGGCATCCCATTTTAAAACACTAATTTATTTAATTAGAGGGCTTACCTTCTTGCAGAGGGAGCAGGCAGTCAGGGTAGATGAGCATCTAGGCAAGGAGAACCTGAGTCTGCCCTTATTTGCTTATCTCCTCATAACTTGATTATCTCCTCACACTTCCTGCGGCATCCTTCAAAAGATCTCATGGCACCCCAAGGTGCCCCAGCATTCTGGTTGGGAATCACTGGTCTAGACGGAGGAAATAGTTGCACAGACAAAGTAAGCAAAAATATCCCTGATTTAATGCACTTTTAAGACGCAAAGGAAGGAAAATAAATTGTAAAGAGATGTGTGGAAGACTTGCAAGCTTTTATGAAGCATATTGTAAAATATTTGCACTGATGCAAATGTTTAAACTAACCTTAATGTTTAAACTAAGAGAGCTGTTTCTGAGCAATTTAATGACTATTGGAAACTAATTCCCACTGTTGGATTGATCTGTAGGTTTCTAACTTGTGACCATCAAATAAATTCAGGACAATACTTCTGTACATCTTGTGAGTAGGGAAGAAAGTGAAACAATTTAGACGCTTGTTTCCATATATTTACTTGATTTCTAGAAATTCAGGAGTAGTTCTGGGGAAATTGAATGCATCTTGTCTGCAGGCAGAGCTGCCTGATTCAGTAGTCAGCAATATGGGCAAGAAATATAATTGTAAATCACGATGGATCCTCAGAGTGAATGTAGGTAGGTCATATTCTTGGAATATGAATCTTGTACTATAAACAAAGCTGCTTTTTTTTTTTTTTTTTTTCCAAACCATCTAAATCAGTGGTGCTCAACCCTTCCAACCCAGTGGACTGGATGAGTTGTGCAGGGGTGGTCCATGGGGTCAGTCCACATGTGGGGCCATATCATCTTGCTTACAGGGTAGCTCTGTACTTGGAGCTGTTGGCTGCTGCCATGTTGATACCTTATGCTACTGGGTCTCCCCACAGGTTCAGAAATTTGGCAGCAGGGGGCAGTGGCAACATTAGTTGGCAGGCTCTCAGAGCCATTAATGCTGCTGCTGCTCTCCTGCTAAACTTGCAGATCTGAGCGGAGCCCGTGGTTAATCTGGCAGCTTCCCTGGGGCTGGATCCAGCTTATAGGCCATAGGTTGAGAGCACCACTGATCTAAAAAGTAAAGCAAGCATGTATCATCATCCTAAGTACTGAACCTTATGTTGCAAAGAAGTGGTCTTACAAGTTGTATTGACATTCTGCATCATAAAGTTAGTTGAAGGTCCCTTGGGGTAATTTAAAGCATTCTGCCTTGTTGTCACAAATATGAAATATGCTGTTAATTCTGGACAAGTGAGACTATGGGACTTGCTATTTGGATCATGTTAAACCCAAACATTATGTTGATGTCATGATTTTTTTTCTAAGACAGTGTCCTGAAACTTCTCTGAAAGTTATCTTTATACACCAGCAGATGTTCTGCTTATAGAAACCGATGGGTTTGGGCACACAAGGAGCTTGGTGCTTCTTAGGATGCCAGAACTTTTCATGGCTAAAACCTGTACCTGCCCTCTTACTGCATCAGAATAATCATTCCTAACAGTTGAAGCCAAAATACAACTTTTCAGATTGCTTTGTTAGTGTTCTGAATCTGGCAGCATCTTGCATATCAACATATACATTAAGTTATTTCTACTTCCCTTATTTTCGATGATTGCTGGGGAGAAAGGAAGTACAAAACAAGTTTTGTTTTGTTTTCTTCTCTAAACACAAACTTAAGAATACCATGGGTTTTAAAATATGCATTATGAGATTTTCATGAAGATATAGTGGGTAGAAAATGTATAAGTTTCAGAACATCCTTGTTTCAAGTGTACACTATCCTTTAGTTCCCCAAAGACCTTTTTAGACCCTGTTCAGCAGTTTTAGCTCTATTCAAAATTTACCGTTTCTCTCTGCCTTTGCTTTGTGTGTAGCATCTAACTTGTTCATCAGATTTGACTGAAGCATCAAATGTTGCTGTAGAGAATTTGGATTAAGTGCCAGGTGTTGAGCTGTAGTTAAAAATTGACTTTGTATGTGATGTGCTAAGCAAAACCTCTTTTTATACACATACAGGTACAACAGAATAGCTCGGGAATGGACTCAGAAGTATGCGATGTAATTAAAGAAATTATTGGATAACCTCTACAAATAAAGATAGGGGAACTCTGAAAGAGAGAAAGTCCTTTTGATTTCCATTTGACTGCTTTCTATGAGCCCACGCCTCATCTTCCCCTGTGCACATGTTTACCTGATACAGCAGTGCTGCGTGTTGTACATACTTGGAACAACAAAATAGAAATACTGTATTCCCCGTACCAACATTGACTCCTAGCAAAGAAGTGTGTGTGTGAAAAGCCAGTTCTTCAATCATAACTTAGTTGTGAGCCTAAAAGCATTCCTTTTTATTGCTCAGTTTAAATCAGTGCGTCAGTGGGGAGGACTGGTGGATTTCATGTACTCCTAGGGGTAGTTTCACTTCCCCGTGGCAGGATTTTTTTTATTTTTTTAAGTGGAATCCTTTTAAACTCATAACAGTTATGAAAAGCAAGGTGAAGAACTTGAAGCTGTTTCTGTATTCATTTTATTCTGAAGGACCTACATCTTAGGTAAATGCTATGACCAACAAGATTAAACTGTACCCACATCCTGTGTTTAAGGTCTAAGTTTAACTGGTCAACATTTAAATGGATTGGAGCTATTAGTGCATCAAGTGGATGTTGATTTGTTTCAACTCTTCTCTTCCCTTCCTCATACTTTTTTGGTTTGTATGTGGTTTCTCAGTTAATACATAGCTAATAGCTCTTTATTTTTTTTCTTAAGTTTTTTTAACTGCTTAGGTCTTTCTGGATGTAAGGGTAAAAATTCATTTGACAGAAAACTTGTGTATATTTAAAGACCCAACTGCTCCCCTGGAGCTTGTACGTTAAAAAATGATTAATCTGTGTAATAAACTGATTACTACAGTCATTACATATAACTTTGTGTGAATAGGCTTTTAATTTTAAGAACTCTTTGTTACAGGCTAAAGCTAATGGTGGATTGTCCCTTAAACTTCTGCGTGCATGAACAGTTGCATTTCAGAATCACGAAGCAGTTTGGTTCATATCTCAAAAGGCTATGCATCTGAACAAGATAAAATATAAGCTTAAAGCACTTACGTGAAATCAGGATGTGTAGTGTGCCAGGAACTTGACTGTTAAAACCAAATAAGCAGTTTACTTTAATGAGAATCTGAGCAACATTTTACCAAGCCTGATGGTATTATTCCCACTTGCATGGGATTTAACACAATGCATATGTACTGTAGGTAAGTGAAACCTTACTTATGTAACTAAAGTAATGGATGTAAAAGGGTAAAATTACCAAACACACATCAGCACAAACTTTCATAAACTTCTCATGAAATGTAGCTTTTACATGATTACTTTGCACTAAACATTTGCAAATGTTCATACTGTTTTAAATTGTACTTGTATGTGTCTTTTGAACAGTCTTCACTTGAATCTCTAGTGAAAATGTTGTTTGAAAATTTTCTTTGTAAACAAGTGTATTTTGCCCACACCATTCATGTGAAGTAGGTGAGTCTGCAGGTTTATCTCCTTTAGTATGATTGTAAAGAGAGCCATCAACAATGAAGGAGAGGCTGTAGCCTCCAGCCACAGGGATCTGTCCCATCCATTTTCATATTCATCTTTACACTCTTGCACAAATGAGGAATAAATGTCCACTGCTTTTAGTCTAAATTTGTTCCACTTGTTTCATCTCTCAAATGTTCTTATTTATGCATTTCTTAATATAAATCTCAGCAAACTTCTGAGGTTTTCTGCATAGCAAGTAAAAATTGCATATACAAACAGGTCTTGGTAACCAGCACATACATTGCTGTTTAAACTTGGCAGACTTGCTTTTCTTATAACTACCATGTAGGGAGGAAGCAGTGTGTTCTGCTGAAAGTGGCCCTGAAACAGTGGAGCAGAGTTTCACTTGCAAAGAACTGTATGACAATATCTTGGACAGGTGACAATGATAGAATACCAAAAACATTTTGGAAAAAGTACGTGTGATTATGCAAAGTTACTATTGTGCTGAAATATCAAACGAGAACTATATAATTACATAATTGCCCAACTGTTTATGGGACAGCATTACTGACTCAAACCAGGCAGTAGGCCAGTGAATTCATTCCTCAGATTCACCTACCAACTGAAGTGTGGCTTGTTTACTCTTATCATTAAGACACTGCCACATACAACTGGAAACAAATAACTTATGCTTCAGTGGTGAGTTTTACGTACAGGAGGCCAGAAAGCTATAGAAATCTAACTCCAAACTTGTCCTGGTCTGTGGGAATGTCTAACAAGCCTGACCAATTTCTGTGGTGATGGTTTCCTGACATTTAATATGTGATGTTCCAGCTATATATTTGGCACCTCACTAAGTGACAGAAGAGAAATAAAATGGGTCAGTATATGATCCTGAACTAAAGCTTTCGGAAAGGTAAATCAAATTTCTATAGAACTGTCAAAGGTACCAGTCAAAGCTTTAAAAAAAAAAAAAAAAAAAAAAAAAAGGTCAAACTAACAGAAAACCCACTTCTAACTCTATTGAAGCATTCAAGTGGAGGGGCTGTTACTAATAGTTGGCAGTGCAATAGTGTGTTAGTCTTTACTAAAATAAGTGTAGCTTGACACGATTAATTGTTTTCTAATAACTTCATTTTGGAGTGAAGCTATTCTGGATAGCTTAGTATAGACCACAAACTTACTGTCAGGTAGCAACACTCTTAGGTTTGCCAGGCTGCTCTCCATAGACTTCTTTTTAAACAGGAAACGATATAGCTGCATTCATGTGGAAGCAATTAAATTGTCACTGAATGGCAGTGGCCCAGTAAGTTTGTCTTCTAGACATGGCCCTAAACTCTTCATAAACTGCCTTAAGTGAAGGGAAGTAGGATAGATAGCTCAATTTTATGTGGCCATATAGTAAGCAATAGTAATATAACATGAAAGATTGGGGCACCAGCTCTGAGCACTAATTTTGGGAGTAGAGGGAGGCAGAGATCGCTGTACAATTTGGCAGCCGCTGCTGCTGAGGGAGCCAAACGCTGCTTGTTATGCCTTTGTAAGCAAACTGTTAATTCTGGACCAAAGCAAACAATGAGTCAGAAGTGGAGCAATACCCTAAGGAAAAACGAGATGGAAAGACAAAAGGATGCTGTTGTATAGATGGAGCTTTGGGTTGGTGATATTCTTGGACCATCAGAGTAACTGGAAAAGTGCAGCCATCTTCTGGCCTAGGTAAGAGGGAAGTAGATAAGTAAGCCATGAGCCAGAAACTGGCAAAGTCATGGCAGTGTTTAAACTTCCATGTAATTCCAGGTGTTGTGTATGGTATACCCACACTTTCACTAAAATGTCTGCTGTGTTTTTAAGGTGAAGTGAAAGGCTTTAAATCTCCTGGGACCCGAGATCACACGTTCTTATAGGCAGCATTACTAATCTGAAATGGTGAAAGAAGTTACAGTCTGGACTCCTTGCTGCTTTTTGATATTGCCTTGTAACTTGGAGCTTGCCTTGATAGTTGAAAGTTTTGGGGTTTTTTTACAATTCCTGTCGAGCCAAAACATTCTATGAGTTCGGTTAAAAACAAAACAAACCTAGTTTTGTTCAATATAATTGTGCGTATTCATACTGTGGTTCACAAGGTTCGAAAGCAATTGACATCCAACATTTCTGATTCTGTTTGTTGAGTACTAACTATTTTTTGTTTTTCTATTTGTTTTATTTTTTAATAAATAAAACTTGGTCTTATTAAGGTCTTTAGACTTGATTGAAAACTCTGGCCTACTTGGTGATAGAATGAACCACTTAAATATACCTGTGTTTAGTTTATTTGAAGTAAAATAAGCTGCGGTAAAGCAAATGGAATGGCAGATAGTTTTAAGATTTACTGAACTGCCCTAATACAACAATGTTTCCTTAGGCTACTGGAATTATCTGCAAATATTTACCTGTATTTTAACTATGTATTTTCTGTAATCTTGACTAAATCTTCAGAAGTTACTATTGCTGTTGTTTTATTCTGTCACTCCTGCATAAACCTATGCCATACGTGTCTTGTGGGATTATGAAATCTTGTATAACGGAAGAGCTCCACCAGCTTTTATCTAACATTAAATGACTGCAATGATGATTGATGTTGAATCTGGCATGCTTATCATAGAGCAAACTGGCATTTTTTATTGAGGGGCTGCCTTACACTTGTACCTTTTCAAACGGGTTTGTTCCTGAAGGACTTGATCTAATAAGATCTTGTATATTTGCATGCCAAGTTACTATGAGGTTAACAGAATGAAATTTATGGCTCAAGATATTATTGGGAACTTGGTTCTGATTTGCATACAAGTACTGTAGTTGATGTCTTCCATATTGTTCTGAAGTTGGGATGCACCACAGCATCCCTTCAGTAACTGAACAGGTAACAGCTATAGCATTGAAGCTAGACTGACTCTAAAATGAGCTGCATGTTTGTGTCTTTACTGACTACTTAGTTGAGCCTGCTGTTCATGGTAGTCGAGTGTTGAACCATAAGTGTCTTTTTAACTGTGTATTTCTGTTCTTACCTTGCATCCAGCATAGTGTTACCCATTTCCTTTACATTTTCTCCTTTGCTGGTATTGGCCCAGCAGCAGTCTTTTCTAGTTCTCAGTCTGTAGCCAGCCACAGAAATGCGCTGGTTTCTACTGCTTTTCCTGACCTATCCTGTTCATCAAATTGCTGTGCAGTGGCAGTGAAATGGCTCTAGGAGTGCCTGTCTGACTTGCTATTCTGCTGATCTGGTGAATGCATTGAAGCCCTTCAGGAAGAAAAATGGGAAATATATCTCTGTTAAAGCAGCTTTTCTTGTTTTCTCCAATAGGCACTTCCCATGAGCCACTCCGGCTCTTGTTACCTGGACCAGCACAGTGGTATGTGGGAGGTGCAGTAGAAAAATGTATGTCTTCTGCTAAAAGCCAGTGAGGAATATGTCAAAATGTTATTTTGCTGTTAATAGCTTGAGTGACATGGCGCATACTTTGCTATCACTTCTGGTAAACATGCTCTACAATTCCATTGCAGCCAGAAAAGCCCCTCTAGCTTAGGCCTTGGCTGTGACCTCTTGCCCCAGCAGAACATGAAAACTTTCTTATTTTATTCTGAGATGTCCTAAATTCAATAATTTTCAGATTGTAGATGACAGAGCTCATCTTCCCTCCTCCCAGTTCTTTCTTAAACCAGCTACCCTGAAGCATTTCATTCTAGTTAGTTCAGCATAGGATGCTCTACCCTATGCCTTGCACATTTTTCTAAATCAGCTGGACCCCTGCCTCTAGTTTTAATCAGAATTGCTCCCTTCCTTTCCTTGTTTTGCTTTCTGTGTAGCCTGACCTCTTCATAGCTGAATGGTAGATGAAGCCACCCTGAAGTGTCTGCTTCTGAGAAATCTACAAAATTGTGACTCATTTTCAGGGGCAAGGGCTAGGCATTTGCCCAAGGGGGAGAAGGGGTAGGAGGGATCTAAGATTATTCTTAAGGGAACGTGTACCAAGATGATAGGTTTTCTTCCACCCACCAGTCTTGAGCACTCCAGACATAAAGGCCAAAACTAGCACACGTAATTGCAGCCACAGAGGCAGTAGGAGATGGTCAGTATTGTTCCCCACACATTAGATTGGGAAGTCTATGCGAATAGATATGCTCTAACATCTGTGTGCATTATTGTAGTATCTTGCAACTGGTCTGTATTAAATAATTCCATGTAAACTTACTCCTGGCTTGATTCCTTCTTTTGCTTAACTTCTGTCTTCTCTTCCTTATTTTTAAACTGTCTCTGTCTCCCTTGTTCCCTTTATCTACTTATTTTTGACCAGCTGCTCATTTCAACTCACCACTAGCCCTAATCTTGGTTTTCTGAGCATCCTGCCCCCCTATATCTGGCTGGCAGCGCAAAAAATTAAATAGTCTAAGTAGCTGGTCTATCCAGCCACTACATTGAGGCCTGTGCAGCATAGACCTGCTGTAGACTGTCCACCAGCTGCAAGCTCTGTGCTTTTCTCCCTGAAAGGAAAGGACTGGAGCTGAGACTGGTGGAAGCAGCAGCCATCACAACTTAGCTGTGGTCTTCTACCAAAAAAGTAAATGCTGCAATGCTTTTTTTTTGTTTGGGGGGGGGGGTTGTGTTTTGTTTGCTTGCAGCACTTTACAAGTTAAGCAACCTTGCCCTTGCTGGTGCCCAGAACAGTCCTTCTGACTGCCTAAGGAGCACCAGACCATATTTTGTGACTGTCTTAAGGGGGTTTCATGTTCTTTTATTCCCTCTAACAAGAAGCTTTTACTATCAACTTTATGTACTGGCCTCAATCTACTTTTTATGGTCAGACTAACCTAATTTTATAGTTCTCATAGTAAATTCAAAATGTGCCTTGTCTAAACTGGAGTCTAATGGGGTTCTGTTTGTGTCAATTTCTGGAGGGAGGTGCCTCTTGTGGTAGAAGGCCTCTTGGTTCTATGATGCACATGCATTCAGTGGATCATTTGCTTTGTGCACTTTGAATTTGCACAGGTACATGTTAAATCTCCTTAATGCTGGCCCCCTTCATCCCTCCCTTCTGCTCTGGGAAAACACTTGGCATTAAATCTCCCTTGTGGAAACTGGAGACCTTTTAATGAACCAGGATTCCCTACTACTGTGTTCCTGGTATTAGCCCTTGGAGAAGGTGAAAATGAATCCTGCTATGGAATCACAAGCACCTGAATCCTCATGAAACAAGAAACTTTGGTGTACACTAAGAATTAATATTCTGTGAGGTCAGTTAATATTTAAGAAAGAGGCTTCCCTTAGGAAACAGGGTTTCTCTGTTTTGCGGGGGGTTTGCATTCAGATGACTGGCCAGGAAGAGTTAGAACCCAAGTTATTGTTGATGTTTTTTAACCAGGACTGGAAATGGAGCAATAGCATATTTGTTCCAGCCCAGAAGTGCACTTAACAGGTGTCCCTTTCACAAAAGGAAATGCTTTCTATTGACAGTAAAGGTAGGAAAAACGTTTTAACTCAAAGTAAACTAAGTGGTCTGCACTCATGATGTGTAAGCATAGCAACCTAGATCAAGCATTTTGTGAAGACACCAGGAAAATCTAGTTTTAAAGGTTCACCTTTCAGTGCTGAGCCCAGCATCTTTCCCCAGTGGTCTTGAACCTCACTCAGTCTCCTTCTGAAGCAGTCCAAGTCTTGAGGGCTTACTGATGTTGGCCTGTCAGTTTGGGAGCACAGTGCACCAAATATGGTGATCACTCAAAATCCTTGGAGCTGGATGCCATCAGACTTGTGCTGC